GTTGAAGGTCTACTTGACGAGTTGGCGCTATGACTCGTCGAGTAGCAGCGGGCCAGGACACGCCAATTAATGAGCGACTCGTCGAGTCGGCATGGGACTCGACGAGTAGGAGCTGGCAGTGGAAACCCTAATTTTCAGGGTTTTTGCAGCATATATATTGGACCATTAGCGCCTTCCAATGTCCTCTACCACCCTCTTGAGACCCAGAAACCCTAATTGCTGTGAGTGAGAGCTTTGAGAGTGTTTTGGAGCTTTGGGAAGTGACTTTTGTGAAGGAAATTTGTAGATCAAGAGGCTAGCATCAAGATTTCTGTGTGGATCCAGAGTCTAATTCAGTTTGGGCACGTTTTGGAGGTAACCAGCTGTTACCTTAACCTCTTTTTCTTCTAGAATCATTCATATGTGGAAACTAGGGCTTTCTTTAGTTATCCACGAAGGGATTTTGGTATGGGAGCTAGATCTGAAGTTGAAACTTCAAATCTGAACCTCTTTTGAGTCCTAAGTCCATAAAGTTTCCAGCTTTTGCAAGGATGAGACTCTCCTTTGGTGTAAAGCTCCATTAGAAGCTTAGATTGGTCATTTAGAGCCTTTAGGGCCTTGCATGTGTGTAAAGTTTGCAACTTTACGTGTTAAACATGCCTTAGAAGCTTGGATCTGTTATCTGGAACCTTGGCATGGCTTAAAAAGTGTCTGCATGGATGAAGGTCTGCAAGGACCCGACGAGTTGCATAGTCAACTCGGTGAGTCATATGAAGATGGTCGTGAACTCGTCGAGTTGATGAACAAACTCGGCGAGTCCGTTGAAGATTGCCTTGAACTCGGCGAGTCGTTCGAAGACTCGGCGAGTCGGCTAGGGTTTCTCCCAATTCTTGGACACGGATGAACTCGGCGAGTTAAAAGGGAACTCGACGAGCCAATCAAGGATTTCACGACTCCTCGAGTTCAGGAAGGACTCGACGAGTCGGTGAACTGCACTCGACGAGTCGAGTCAACATGGACTGTTGACTTTGACTGTGGACTTTGACTTTGACCAAGAGTTGACCAGTTGACTTCTGAGGGTATTCTGGTAATTTGGAGATTTATGAAAAAGGGTCTTATGGTAACTATAGGTGGTGGAGTTCGTGTTGGTGATCCGGGAGTTGAGCTTTCTAGTTTCAGACGACAGTTGCAAGGTGAGTTATCCTCACTATACTAAGGGGTCTAAGGCACCAAGGCCGGCCCATTGGATATGTTATTCTAGCAGTGTTAGATGTTGAGTATAAGTTAGTGTTGCATGCTAGTAGTTATGTCAGTTAGGTAGACCTGTAGGACTACCTATGATGTTATATGATTATTGCATGCTCAGTGGTTATGTGGTATGTTATATGTTATGTGGGATGGGTTGAGGTTGTACTGCTCCGTGCGGTAGCCAACAGACCTTAGGAGCATTCCAGTTACGGGCTAAAGGGAGACTCGTACTGTGGGCTCGGGAGCATTCCAGTTACGGGCTAAAGGGAGCGTACTGTGGGCTCGGGAGCATTCCAGTTACGGGCTAAAGGGAGACTCGTACTGTGGGCTCAGGGGTAATCCAGTCTGTGAAGCTAGGGACTCATTACATGTTTTTCAGTTGTTATGATATGTTTATATGGACTGTATGTGTATCGGTATTTTGGGGGAAACTCACTAAGCTCTCGGGCTTACAGTTTCAGTTTATTGTTTCAGGTACATCAGGGGATCGCGGCAAGGCGAAGGCGTGATCGTACAGCTCCTCATGTTTTGTCTATGTTTCTGGGAAAACTCTGATATTATACATTTTGAAAACAAAGTTGTAATGATTTTTAATGGTTTGAAATTTTTTTAAAGTTTAAATTGGTTTGAATTTTTTTGGGTGTTACATACACCGTCTTTGCAAGAAGCTCTCTCTCTCTCTCTCTCTCTCTCTCTCTCTCCTTTTCAATGCATTTGACCTCTCTCCGCCACAATTCAATGCTTTTGACGGTTTTGCACCGTTATAAATATTGAATTTAACATCCATTTTTACTACATCAAACACCTATCTTTCAATCTCTCTACAGAACCAAAAAACATGTCTTATTCAAACTTTATTAACAATGAAAAAACACACCAACTTGAAAGAACCCAAACATTTCATCATTCTACCATCCACAAATGGACTGACTTATTTATTCAACACTCGTATTCCATTATACCTGTATGACATTGTATTATGGTCAATATCCAATGCAAATCGGCTACACTCAACCACCCACAACCGAATTCGACCCCTTCGAACGTGTTCCATAAACTCAACTCCAACCCCAAACCTTACCCGCACCGAACCCAAATACCAATGTCAACCCAAACCCAAATCCCAACAATTAAAGGAAGGCCCCAATATACCTTGACTCCAGATAGAAAATAAGGCGTCGACCTTTGCATGGGTTGATATATCAGAGGATATGACAGTCGGAAACAACCAAAAGGGGCCAACTTTTTAAAGACATGTTCTTAAACATTTCCTCAAAGAAAGAGTTCATGACTACCGTAACAAAGAATCAATCTACACAAAAGGGGTTAACACGAATAAAGAGGTAATGATATTTGATTATTTATTTAACAACTTAAAAAAACAATGGGAAAGTGGTGAAAATGATGCTATCATTTTCAACAAGGCCTATAAATGTTCCGAAAAGAACACAAGAGACCTTTTAAACATATTATGTTATGGAATGTTATAAAAGATTGCCAAAAATGACGGGACATAAGAACATCCGAAGCACATATAGGTGGTTCGAAATTGTCAAAAACATCTGACTCCTACTACACTACTTTAGATGCTCATATTAGGATTGACCTTAACGACAATGACACCTTTGTGATTCCACCACCTTCCCGCCCAACGGGAAGGGTCAAAGCAAAACGCAAAGCAAAAACGTCAAATTTGGATGACCTCCGAGAGATGAGGTTGGAGATCACGAGCCTCGGTGTAGATTTGGCCAAATATTTTGAGTTTACTCAATAAAACGAGCGTAAGAAATAAAAAGCTCGTGACATGAAGTTTTTAATGAATGACTTGAATAACCACACCGGTGAGGAGCGTGAATTAGTTTTGACAGTAAAAGCCGAAATTAAGGAAAAATATAACATATAATTTTTTTTTCTTTTTAGTTTTTATTAGTATGTTTTCTAGTTTTATCTAAATTAAACTGTTTAAAAAAAATAAAAATAAAACTAATGTGGCATACCATTCGTTGTGTTTCGCAAGGTATTAGAAGAAGAATGCATTAGAAGAAGAGTAGTAAAAGTTAGGGATGAGCATCAGAACCGGCCGAGAATCGAACTTGGTGGACAATAGGAACCGAACCCGACCGCCGGTTCTACCGGTTCTTGCCGGGTCTTCAATGTTGGAACTGGTTCTCGAGAAATAGTAACATATTTTGAGAAATATTTTTGTTACGGTTTCGATTTTTGCCGGTTCTACCAGTTCCGATTCCTACCGGTTCCAAAAATCCACAAGAATATCGTCCCGGTTCCGGCCGGATCGGTTCTATCTGGTTTCGGTACCGAATCTGGTTCCGGTACCAGTTCCGGCCGGTTCCCCGATCCAAATGCCTATCCCAAGTAAAAATGATGTGACACCGACGTGATATATAAAAGAGAACGACAACCATGACACCACATTCTCTAGCTTAAAGATCCAAAACACAAATGTCTTTTTTTTTTTTTATCAAAATCACAAGGATAGGGAGGGCCGGTGAATGCGATACCTGGCCATAACCCTATACCCGGTTTTCACCTTACGGGGATCATCGGCGTTCGACAGGGAATACTCATCCCCCAACGGACGAATCGAACTCGGGATAAATTTCCATCCTTAGGGAGGAGGGAGTCATTCCCTCCCAACCCATTGAACCCATTGTCATATGAATTTTTGTCTCTCATTTTCTTCATCTTTTCCAACGCACAATACACGGAAATCCTATATTTCTCAACTCACTCAACTAAAAAACTACAAAACAACTAAGGTATAAGTTTTAAAACACATGGTACAAGAGAAAATGAGAGAGAGCAAGTAGAGAGAGGGGATGAAGTGGGTTAATGAAACCAATTAAACAACCCGCTGAAAAGGGAGTGATACCGGCGGTAACTCTATTGCTAGTTAAGATTTTACATTGATTGTTTTGTATTTTTTTTAATTGAATGAGTTGAGTGGGTTGAAAAAGATATGATTTTCGTGTGTTGTGGGTTGGGAAAGATGAAGAAAAATGAAAGAGAAAAACTGATGTGGGAGTGAGTTTAGTGGGTTGGAAGGGAATGACTTCCTCCTCCCTTATATGAGATTGTCTTTCTAGTGGAAACGTATATTTTAACAATTGAAATAGTAAATTTAATATAAAGTATAGAAACTAGCATACCATAAATGTCTTTTTGAAATAAATGTCTTTTTGAAAGAAAAAAAAATGTGCGTAGTAGATTAATAAGGCTTAAGGGAGTGGAGTGCGGTTTAGGCCGCACTCAATGCCAGATAGGCAGGAATACTGTCCCCTCTATGCGGTTTTGGGTGCGGTTTGGCCGCACCCCTCCCAAAAACTGCCGCACCCTCCTTCTTTTCTCTCTGTATTCATGTGTCTTTCTCTTTCTTCTCCTTTCTCTCACCTCTCTCTTTCTCTATCATGGTTTCCACTCCCTAGGTGTGGTAAAGAACTACACTTTGTGTGGTAAAAATGATGTGGTTCCTATGTGTCAAAGGAGGGAGTGCGGTTCTTGTGGCACCACTCCCTCAAGCCTAACCGTTGATGATCTATCATTTATTTTCATAATTTTGATTAAAATTGAATATGAATATAATACTATTAACTTACCATGACGGTATCGGGTGGATATATTATATACAGTATTTTTCTTTGATCTGACATATAATCGACAAAAATACAAACTAAATAAACAAATAAAAACATCACACGTTTATTATATTTGCATTAAAAAATGAGTCTCATCTCATCTTTTGCAATCAAAATCTATCCGTTACTTTATCAATGGAATTAGAAACAAATGGTGCATAGCGTACTGAAAGAAGAAGAAGACGACAGATGCATATAAAAGAAGTCAGAAACCAACTTCCTGTCCTCTCATTGCACAAACACCAAAATTCACCGTCCTCTCAGGTCTGCAAAACCTCTTCAGTCTCCATCTCTTGCTTCCTTTAAGAAAATTCTATTTCCTATTTAAAATTTTCATCCTCATTGCAGATTTTACGGACAATTCTCCTTGTAAACCAATTACATCATCATTTTATTCATACGTATCGTTTGATTTCACCTAAATCCATCAATTTTGAGCGAGGAGATAAGATTTGACGTCTGATATATAGTATATTCTGATTTAATTACAGGTGAGGAAATGAGGATTGGATGTGTTTGGGAAACGTTGGCATGCCTCACCGCTGCAATAATGGTCCTAAAAAGCTGCACCTGCACGGCAGCAGGGGAAGTGGTTACGTGTTCTGAAATTGTACCGATGGTGTACAGGAACGATAAAATATCGATAACGGATTTCGGTGGAATTGGAGATGGTAGAACGTTGAACACGAAGGCATTCAATGAAGCGATTTACAGGATTAAGCATTTGAGGAGGAGAGGAGGGACGCTGTTATACATACCTCCAGGAGTTTATCTCACACAGACCTTCAACCTAACCAGTCGCATGACTTTGTATTTGGCCAAAGGTGCTGTTATCAAAGCCACACAGGTATATGAATATGATGTTTCCTCAAATCAAATCACTGCTCTATCTTTCCTCATTACAATTTTTTTACTAGTGTTAATTGTTCAGATTGATTTATGAATTCATCTTGTTACCTAGTTACAGTAGTCAACCAAGTTATTTATATTTTACCACGAGAGATTGTTATCTAGAATTGGTATAATTCAAACTAAATTCCATTCTGATTTGAACCAAACCAAGTTACAATTGGATTATCAAAACATTTTAAAATATATATATATATAAATTGGACAAAACTGCAAATTTGGTCCTTGTGGTTTGCAAAAATCTTTGGATGAAGTACAAAATGTTTCCAGCTTGCACAGAAGGTCCAAAATAAAGGTTTTTCTGGGTTTTTGGTCCAAAAAAACTTGAAAAGACGGTTATACCCTTTTACTTTCTTTTTATATTTTTTTAATTTTTCAAATACTATTTTAAAGAAAAGAAAATAATTATCCTCTCTCTCTCCACGCTTTTTACTTCCACTTGTAATCAAATGAAAAAAAAAAAACAGATCAGTAAGCAAATCCATGTCAAAAATGGAATAAGAATTGCCCATTTCCGACCATCTTCTTATTCCCATGTTTATCAAACACCCCCGCCCCCGAGTGAATCGATTGAACCCACCTACCTCATCTCTATCTTGTGCCTCATTGGAAAAACGTGATACAGTGTCTCCGGCGAATTTAAGCCTCTGTCACTGACAAGCTAAAACTTGTGGCTCTCCTGATTTGATCTCCATTCCTGCAATTAAAGGGGTTTTTTTGGTTGCTGGTCTTACCCCTCTTAGTGAAAATCAAAAACCCAGAAGATGAGATGATGAAAACCGAAAACCCAGAAGAATATTTATACCAAGGGCGGAGAAGATGAAGAAGAATATTTATACCAAGGGCGGAGAAGATGAAGTGGGTGGGTGAGCGATTTCATCAGAAGTCTTGACTCCTAGAACCAACACCTCCATTAGCGGGTTTCATTTGTGAGATGTTTGATTTGCAGGATGTATATGCGAGAGGTTTCATTTGCAGGAGAATGCGAGAAAGAAGAAGATGGGAGGGGGTGGTGTTGAACCTGCATCAACGTATGTGTCTTCGTTATCAGATAATTCGTCAATGATGTTTGTTTTGGGGAAGAACCTGCAATTGTTTATGAGCCTCAGAAACAATATCTAAATCTATAAACATGTGTGTTGAATCTGAAATCAAGAGAGACCTTGTAGCAGCAAGGGCATTTAAGATCAACATTCTAATACTGTAACCTGTTACACATTATGATGATTTCATTCATGTCGTTGATCGAGATTCTAACAAACCAATCTGTATAATCTTGTAGCCAAGTAGCAAAAATTTGGGTTTTTTTTTCCGGATTCGATAAATGAGAGAGAGAGAGAGAGAGAGAGAGAGAGAGATAATACATTTCTTTTCTTTTTATTTTTAAGTTAAAATGGTATTATAATAATTGTAAAAAATAATAAATAAAAGGGTATAATCGTCTTTTCAAGTTTTTTGGACTAAAATAAATCATAATTTATTAAAAAAAATAAAATAAATAAACATTAATTATATTGGAATAGTAAAAAAGTAGGACCCTACTTGTACTTGTATGTGACTGAAAAGAAAGCGGAGAAAGGATAAGTGGATGAGGTAAAGAGAATCCTAGGTATTTAGTATTTTGGTTCTTTTATTACCATTTTTCAATAACAAAACTAACAAAAAAATGCATACATTTCAAAATATTAGATTGTTTTTCCATGTGCAACCCAAATCATCAAGGAAATATTTCATTTATGATTTTAGGTAATGCAAATCTAGGCTATTCATTAATCTTGCTATTTGTAAAGAAAAGAGAGAGAGGGGTTCATAAATTACGCATTTATTCTAAAAAAATGTTTAATAATAACTTTGTATTTGATCTTTTGGTATTTATGTTCCAGAACACTGCAAACTGGCCTTTAATCGCTCCTTTGGCATCTTATGGTAGAGGGCGAGAACGTCCTGGAGGAAGATATATTAGCTTCATCCATGGCGAAGCTCTCCATGACGTAATCATCACCGGTATATTAATGCTCTCCTACTTCAAATTCCATTTGCATCTTCTTCTTCTTTTTTAAAAAAAAATAAAAAAACTAACATGCAAAACTGTTTTATTAGGTGAAAATGGCACAATCGATGGCCAAGGTGGGGTGTGGTGGAACATGTGGAGACGACGAACCTTGCAATTCACTAGACCAAATCTCATCGAGTTCAAAGACTCTAGAGGCATCATCATCTCTAATGTCATCTTCAAAAACTCACCCTTTTGGAATATTCATCCTGTTTACTGCAGGTAATTTCCCCATTTCTTATATATTTTTATCAACATATATATAATCTTTAACTTAATATATTTCATATATGAAAACCAAACAGCAATGTTGTTATTCGGCATGTGACCATATTAGCTCCACCCGACTCTCCAAACACGGATGGAATTGATCCAGATTCAAGCTCCCATGTCTGCATTGAGGATTCCTACATCTCAACAGGAGATGATCTAGTGGCTGTAAAAAGCGGGTGGGATCAGTACGGAATTAAATACGCTCGTCCCAGCAACGATATCACGATCCGCAGACTCACCGGATCCTCTCCCTTCGCCGGAATTGCAATTGGAAGTGAAACATCCGGTGGGGTGTATAATGTATTGGCAGAGCATATAACTCTTAAAAACATGGGAATTGGAATCCATCTAAAGACAAACATCGGTAGAGGTGGAATTATAAGAAACATCACTGTTTCTGACGTTTATATGGTCAATGTTCGCAAGGGAATCAAGATTTCCGCTGATGTGGGTGATCATCCGGATAAAAATTACAACCCGAATGCCCTACCCGTTTTAAAGCATGTCAGGATCAAAAATGTGAGGGGCAAAAAGGTCCAACAGGCCGGTTTAATACATGGTTTGAAGAACTCACCATTTACAGATATCTGCCTCTCTAATATCAATCTCCAAGGCCCTATAATTAGTCCCACAAATGTTCCATGGAAATGCTCTTATGTTAGCGGAGGTGCTATTCAAGTTAACCCGTCGCCTTGTTTAGAGCTTATCCGTACAAGATATAAATGTCGTTGACCATGAAAGGTCAATGAAATTGAAAGAAAATACGAACTTGAATTATGCCAAATTCAAACTGATTATCACATTGAAATAACATGTATACGTTTTTATTCATCTAAATATGCTACGACATCTCTCATGGATGCAAAAAAGTACATGATTGTTGTATACAGAGACAAGTGATTACATCATATGATAATTCAAACATGCTTTTAACGTTTTGTAATCTAATAGGCATTTATATAATACACGCAAGTGATACATACCTCGATCATCGAGGATTCATCAATCAAAAGTGTGCTTTAGAAACTTGCCGATGCGCCTCATGAAACCGCCTTTGTGCTCTCCCTTCTCCTTATGGTGGCGTGAAGAAGTAACCATATTCTCGCGATTGAACATGAACTTTGGCACGAATTCTTCATCTCTGTCATGGTGATGGTGGTGGTGGCCGTACTTGTGCTTGAACTCCAGCCATTCTGTCGGAACCTTATCGCCGAATGCTTTCGGATCGAAAGTGTAGCTCTTGCTAGATAGGATCATATCGTTTCCGTAAGACGTTTTTGTCTGAGGGAGCATGAACGTCTTCTGAAATTTCCGGCATGGATGACGTCGGACAAACCTGAGTGGGATCCGAGAAGTTTTATCAAAAAACTGACGTTTGATCGGACGTGATCTTGTTAACCTCGGACGCGGCGTTGAATCAATCGTGCTAACGTCAAATGTTTGAGTGTTCTCAGATTCCGGCAAACGATCATTACTGATAGTTTGATCTAAGTCCGATTTAGGCTTCTCGATCGAAAGATGAACGTCGTCTAACTCGGCGACAGCGACAGATTCTGTGGAAGACTTTGAGGTAAACGTGTCTAAGCCGATCCGAGCGGTGGTAAAGGAGAATAACAAGAACGTGAAGATGGTGAAGACGGCGATCTTGTTCTCCATGGTTATCGAGTACGCCTCTGTGAGTGTGTGAACCTGAGGAGAGAAAGAAAAGGCAGAGGTATAAGAGGGAGGGGGTTGAGTACGTGAACTGCATATCAGCCGTCCACGTGGTTGTGTATTTGGTGGGGAGAAGATTTGTGTGCCGTTGGATCCACCGAGGGGAATTGGAAAAAGAGTCGGTAGGAGACTTTTCCCTCAGCGTCCCATTCCTTACGCCATTCTATTTCCGAAACTAATAATTTTATTGATTAAAATTCCAAAAAATAATATTTGTTTAATTATCGGTATGATGTCGTTATAAAACGTTGATTTACTACGATTTGCATCTCAAACCCCCCCTAAAAATTTGATTAAATTAAATCAAGATGTGTCATGAATGACGCATTCTGTGTAACTTTTTTAATGGTTAAACGTCATCTAGAATGATTCTTAATATAGATAATCACAAAAAATAAATGTGTAGTGATTAATTTTTTTCAATATCGATCATGAAATAATCATCTATTTTACTGTTTTACCATAACACTTTTATGTTTAGTGAAACTGGTAACGAATTGTTTTCATTATATATTGTTACTTTTATAATTTCGGTATTACTCATTAAGATTTTTAGGTTTAACCCATTATTTTGATATGTAGTGGTGAACATTTGGATCTGTGGACCGGACCGTACTATTTTTTTGGACCCCCTGGCCGGTTCTTGGTTCTAGGATTTCAACAAAACCGGTCTGTTTTTTTTACCGGTCCGGTCCGGACGGTTCCGGGTAAAAACCGGTTCTGGACCGGCTTATTTTAAAAAAAAAAATGTATTTTGTAAAATTATATAAACAAACATATCTCATTCGTTTTAAGTCAGTATAAACATGCGGTTTTTTCCAACGTGTAATTTAGAGTTTGTAGATGATTTTAGATTATTGTTGTTTTTGGTGTTATATTTGATGAATTATAATCCTTCAAAAATGATATATCAAAGCTGAAATATTTCAGCTTTTCAACAATTTTGTGAAATTATTTAAACTAGCATACATCATTCGTTTTAAGTCGGATTAACATGCGGTTTTTTTTCTAATGTGTAGTTTATAGTTTGTAGATGATTTTAGACTATAATTGTGTTGTTTTTGGTATTATACTCGATGAGTTACAATGCTTCAAAGATGAAATATCAAAGCTGAAATATTTCAGCTTTTCAACAAGAAATTTAAACTTTTGTATTCTGTGAAATGTTTTTAACAAGCATATCTCATTCGTTTTAAGTCGGATTGACATGCGGTCTTTTCCAACGTGTAATTTAGAGTTTGTAGATGATTTTAGACTATAATTTTGTTGTTTTATGTGTTACATTCAATGAGTTACAATCCTTCAAAGATAAGATATCAAATCTGAAATATTTCAGTTTTTCAGCAAGAAATTTAAACTTTTTTATTCTATGAATTTTTAATTTTTTTTAAACAAACATATCTCATTCGTTTAAATTTTGATTGATATGTTTTTTTTCCAACGTGTAATTTAGAGCTTGTGGATGATTTTAGACTATAATTTTGTTGTTTTTGGTGTTATATTCAATGAGTTACAGTCCTTCAAACAAATGGTATAAATTATAAATAATCAAAGTTTGACCGGTCCTAATGACACAATAAACGAAAATGTATTCATTTTTACAAGTTGTATCATGTCAAACCCAAATAATTATTCCTTTTAACGAGTTGCAACGTATCAAACCCAACAACATATTCGTTTTAACAAGTTGTATCAAACCCAAAAACACGTTTTAACAAGTTGTGTCATATGCATATAAAGTTGTATCGGTACAAACGGGTCCAAGAACCGGAAAACCCGGACCTGGACCCGGTAAGTCTCATCCAGTCCGGTCCACGGTCCATTATATTCTCCGAAACCGGTCCGGTCCAAGAGTCAGTCAGGTCCGGTCTAAATGCTCACCCTTAATATGTACAGAGTACACAAGTTAGTATCGATCACTTGGTTATATTTTGTAGATCGAGGAACTTACATTTAATAAATTATTTTGATGTTGTGTTTCATTTCACTTTTGAAATATTAAAAGACATAGAAGTTTATGGGACCATATTAGCATGTTCTGCTGAAAATAATTATCACACTATTTCATTAATATTTTAAAAGACTTTCAAGAACCCAAAGGGTGTTTCACTTTTCCATATAGATGAACTAAAACATAAATTGAGTAAGCAAATTGTGAGCTTCATATGGATTAGGAAGTTTTATAAATTACCAAACAACATTTAGAACTTTATATTTAAGTTTTGAACACCGAAATCTATTCCATTAATTTAAAAAATTATTCAATAAAAATAAAAAGATTGTTTAACAAATAAATAAAATTTTGGTGATAAAAGCTCACATATAATATTGAAAGGTAAGTTCCATATGCTAACTTAAGATATTTTGTTGAAATATTGGGATGCCTAACAAGAAACGGATGGAACATCGTAAGTCAAAATAGGGTCTAATTTGTAGAACGCCAATATGCTAATCATCCGATCACAACATATTTCTTTATAAAATATTGGGAATATGATTTATCAAAATAATTATTTTTTCATTTTGTTCACATTGGTATATATATATATATTTTACAAATCTAAGTAACGAACTTGTTGAAAGTGTTCACATATGACCATTATGATTGACTATATTATGACCGGCTGTAGCAAATTACAACCAGTCATAATCGTCATATGTGAACATTTCCAAAAAGTTCGTTACCTAGATGTATACAAAAAAAGTGTTACCCAAATATAAACAAAACGAAAAGATAATTACCTTGATAATTCAATTTCATTTCTTTTTTATTTTACCTTCTAATTTTGATTTGGTATAAAATTTAACATAAATGATAAATATTTTTAAAACCACATCATTTTGATAAATATCTTTTTAAAATGCACTACTTTGATAAAAAAAATTCAGATTTGGCACGGAAAAAAAAACACATTGTCATTTTATAGAATTTTAATGTTTAAGATTTAAATATAAAAATTAAAATTTACTAGAAACTAAAAGTAATATGAAGATCAATAACATCAAGAAGAACATCATCTTAAATGAAGTTTGCTCAATTGTCTCATATATATATATATATATATATATATATATATATATATTATATATATATATATATATATATATATATATATATATAAATGGTCATAAATATTGTTTTAAAGAAATTTAACTAAACATATTAATATTACAAAGATTATGATTGACCATTTTAATAAAAAAGGAAATTGACTTATCAAGGTAAATTACCTTTACGTTTTGTTCACATATGGTTTTTTTTGTATACATGTAGGTAACAAATTTGTTATAAGTGTTCATATATATGACTATTATCACCGGTTTTAACTTACTAGAGCTGGTCATAATGGTCATATGTGAACAATTCCAACACATTCGTTATCTAGATATGTAAAAAAATTATCCTGATGTAAATAAAACAAAAAGTTAATTATTCTGATAAGTAATATTCCCTAAAATATTTAACACAAAAATTCACCATTTGTAGCAAAACTACATCCTTAACCATTCCATATGGTCTTTAACCATTTCGTTGTGGCTTTGGGAAATTGATGATTAGTGGGGTAGTTTTTTAAATAAAAATTTGAAAAAATCTTATTAACTTTACTATAATATTAATTTTTTTTATTAAATATATTAATTGTGAGACTCATATATTATATGGGTTAATTTAAAAAAAAATTAAATATAAAGGTCAAAATATTTGAGAACTTTGAATTTATAAGAAAATAAGAAAAATAATGAGTTATTATAATGAAAATGTTTTTTATCTTTTAAATTTAAACAAGTAATTTAAATAAAAAAAACTAATAAGCTTTGATTTTAGAAATTTTGAAATTAAAAGGTAAATTTATTATTGAAATTGATATCCATTTATTACTGCATTTATTGCAATTATTACATTAAAATATTATATTGATCTTAATAAAATAGAAAAACTCATAAAATGACATGTGGAAAAAAATCAAAATAACCACAAAATGACATTTGTCAAATTGAATAAGATTGTGACAAGTGGCAAAAAAAACTTTCATTTATTAGAGAGGATTATCATGTTGTAAATTATTAAAAAATATTAGAATATTAAATATATTCAAAATAATTATTCTATCTACACTAATAAATGAAAATCATTTTGACACATATCACTTTCTCAAGACTTTTATCACATGTCATTATATGAGATTTTTGAATTACTAAATTCCACATGTCATTATGTGGTATTTGTTGGATTAGGTGTATAAGCCAATAACTAAATTTATATAATCTTGAATTATTAGCAAAGTCTTTTTGGGTTGCCCTCAAACCTAGTAATTGTGTAACACCCCATCTTTCAAGTAACTTCAAACCCATCCCTTGGGTTTTAAGTATGTCACTTTTGGTCCTTGGAATGGAATGAAGTGGCCATGGGAAGCCCTAGTGGCAGAATGGTAATTATGGAAGCTTGAGTAGTACGCTGGGCGTACACATATGTACGCTGGGCGTACTAACGTCCGGGAGAAACCCTAAATTTTAGGGTTTGGAGGGTATTTAAGCACCATTATGGATCTTTTTGCTGCACTCTTTCAGCCTCCAAGTCCTTGAACCATTCTTAGCAAACCCTAGTCCATAAGAGAGAGTTTTGGCGCCTAAAGTGTGTTGTTGGTGTGGTTGAATGAGAAGAAAGAGCATCAAAGGAGTCAAGGAACGAATCAAGCTTGTAGATCTGGGATTTTCATCTTCTGTGGAAGCTTCAAAAGGTATAAATGATGGATTATTAGCATAACATCAATCCTACGGTGTACATGCAACCCTAATTGCTTTGATCTAGGTTTTTCTATAATGAACATACAACATTGAATACCAAAGCGTAAACCCTAAAACTAGCATACCAAATCCAAAAATCACATATGATTAGGGTTTAGATCTTACCTCTCTTGTTATGTAGTAATAACAAATTTAATCCTTCTTGATCTTGACTTCTGAAAGCCTAATGCCCCAAGTGTTGCACCTCTAA